ACCAATTCGGGTATTTAACCGCCCGAGTCGACCCTATTTTAAGGAGTTTAGATACCTCATGTTTGACTTTGGACTGAGGTATCCTTTTCTGTTTGACTGGATGAAACTTCGGGTCTAAGCTCAGCTTGTGGGTGGTTATTTCCCGAGGGATCCCTGTCATATAAAGGTGGTACCAAGCGAAACAATCCACGTTAGTTATAAGGAATTGAATGAGTTTTTTCCTGAGCTCGGGACTTAGCCCCGTGCCCAGGTATACCTTATGATCGGGCGAATGCTCGATCAATACGACTTGCTCCAGCTCCTCGACCGTTGACTTGGTGGCGTCGGAATCATCGGGGATTATGAAGGACCTGGGGACCCCATAGTCGTCGTCTTCATCAGTCCCCTGCTTCTGCAGTTGGGTCGAGGACGGTGTTGGTAATTGCTATTTAGTTTCTTTCTTGGCGATCGAACCCAGACTTTAGTGCGGATATCGGTATCACCTCTTCGACCGCGAACTATTTCCTTTGTGGATGGTTGTTCTCCGTAGATTGTTTTAATCCCTCATGGCATTGGGAATTTTAACACTTGGTGCAGAGTCGAGGGTACTGCCCTCGTGTTGTGGATCCATGGCGTCCCGAACAGAGCGTTGTACCTCATATCGCCTTCGATTACAAAGAACTTTGCTTCCTAGATGGTCCCGGCGACGTTCACCGGTAATGTTATCTCCCCTTTGGTGGTTTCACATGCCATGTTGAATCCGTTTAGAACTCGGACTGCAGGCACAATTTGATCTTGTAGACCGAGCTGTTCCACGACCCTCGATCTAATGATGTTGGCCGAGCTACCTAGATCAATTAACACACGCTTAAATCGAGATTTTTTTATGAGTACAAATATTACCAGTGCATCATTGTGAGGCTTCACGATCCCTTTTGCGTCTTCGTCATTGAAGGATAGGGTTCCTTCCGGCACATAATCCCGAGTCTGGTATTCCCTTGTGATGGATACTTTGGTGCGCTTTAACATCGGCCCCTAGGGATTGTCGACCCCACCGATGATCATGTTAATGACGTGCTGAGGTTCTTCCTGCTCGACATGCTTATTTGCATCTCTATTCATGAAATGATTCTTGGCTCATTTACTCAGGAACTCTAGGAGATGCCCGTCGTTGAATAACCCGGCTACTTCCTCTCTCAACTGTCGGCAGTCCTCCGTATTGTGGCCGTGAGTGCCATGATATTTGCACATTAGATTAGGATCCCTTTGGGCTGGATCAGACTGTAGAGGTCGGGGCCATTTGGTGCTTCCTAGGGTACGATGGGCCTGTCAAAACTGTTTTCGCTCATGAGTTCCCGATTGTTCTGACCTCGATCACTTATCCTTTCACTTCTTATGGGGTTTCGCCTGGACCCGTTAACTCTTCGGTCCACATTGTATGGTTGATAACGATCCATGCTTGATCTCGGTTCACGATCAATGTTTGTATTGACTCTATCGGCGGCTCTGCCGGGATAAACGGACCCGGAAGAAGCCCCAAGTTGATCGTCCTCGACCTTGATTTTTGATTGATACCGGTTATACACTTCGGCCCAAGTGACAGCCGGATATTCTACCAGATTTTGTTTCAACTGTTGTGGAGCCAACAAGCTTCGAACATTGAGTCCTTGGGTGAAGGCTTGAATGGCCCAATCGTTCGCGACCGAAGGCAAGTCTATTCGCTCCATTTAAAACCGGGACATGAATTCCCTGAGCATCTCATTTTCCCTCTGTTTCACTTTGAAAAGGTCTGATTTTCTGGTCTCGGCCTTGATAGCCCCGGCGTATGCTTTCACGAAGGAATCTGCAAGCATAACAAACGAGTCAATAGAATTAGGAGGTAGGTTGTGGTACCATATCATGACCCCCTTGGACAGAGTTTCCCCGAACTTTTTCAGCAGGACAGACTCGATCTCATCATCCTCCAAATCGTTCTATTTGATGGCACATGTGTAGGAGGTCACGTGCTCATTTGGTTCGGTCGTTCCGTTGTACTTAGGAATCTCAAGCATGCGGAACTTCTTAGGAATCGGCTTTGGAGCGGCACTTGGAGGAAAAAGGTTTTTGAACAAACTTCTTGGAGTCCAGGCCCTTCAATACCGGTGGTGCTCCTGGGATTTGATCGACCCTGGAATTGTAGGTTTTCACCTTCTTGTCATTGGCTTCGATTTTCTTCTCTCCCGATTCTATCAGTTTTGTTAGATCTTCGAGCATCTTCATGATCTCAGGGTTGGTCCCCGACTCATTTTCATTCGACCTCTCCGAGATCGATTCATTTCTGTGGACGACTTCCCGGGATGGTTCGGGCTCAATCCTGCTCGGCGCGCGGCTCTGGTTCTGGACTTGGCTTATCGCTGTTTGTTGAGCCTGTAACATTTTGAAGATTACCCGCAAGTTGATCCTATCATCTTCGCCCCCGTGCGTATTTTGTGCAACCGACCGGACTTCCCTGCGGATACTGTTCTCAGGATCGATACGCAAGTTTGCGTTGATGCCCACGTGCGAGCTAGCATCGATCGTGTCCGTAACGGAATTCCGTTGGGATCGACGAGGGGCACCTCATTACCAGGTGCTTTGTTGTTTTTCTCGCCATGGTGGTCGGATTCAGCATCCACGTTCAGAGGGACAGACTGGGAGTTCGAAATTTAAAACTTTAACCTGAAACCAAAAGCACTCCAAAGAACAAGTGTAAAATAGGGTGTGTTATAGAAGTTTGTATCAAACAACCACTATTATCCTTAGCCCCACGGTGGATGCCAAACTGTTTACCCTCAAAATCGGATAACAATTAAATTTGTAAGTGGTTTTAAGGATACGCGAATTAGTTTGACACAAAGCTATAAATTGGATTAGATTGAACAAGTAAATATAAAATGAATTCAAACCATGCGAATAAGACAGTTTCAGCCTTAGTGAAATTGTTCACCCTTGATCGGGGCTCGCTATAGTCAACACTGATGAACAAATGAAAAAAGCTAAATAACAGAGAAAATGATAATATATTGCCTTGGAGCGCATGTTACAGTTGTTTTTATGAGTAATCAGACCCCCTTTATATAGTAGGGGAGTTCTACCTTAGGTACAACTCTATAAAAGGTAAAAGATCTTCTGATTAATTGATTGTCGGTTCCCTATCGATTCATGCCGAGATCCCCGCCGTGATATTCGGTCGATCACAGATATTTTGGCTTTCTGTTGGTAATGCTTGATTGTCGACAATGTCCTTCGAAGTTGTTTGAGGCCAGGACCGATTCTTGAACTATGACCTCGATATTCCCGAGGGCAGGTGTCGTGTCCCCGGGCTCTGGCTCAATAGGACTTTCGGCTTGATTTTGGTCCCTTGCCATCACATCTCGAGCCTGGCTTATCTTGTCGGAAGTCAAGGTGCATCATGAGCTCGGTTTTACCCGTATACAATACTATTTTCATTACATTAAGAAGTGGACCTCTGTATGCGTGATCAGCGGCAGTATCAGACTTGTATTTTTGTGTCAAAATTGAAAAGAAAATCATAAAAGCAATGCATTTTCAAGGACTCCATATGACTTTTAGTTAAGAAGTATAGGAAGACTCTTCGTTCTTGGATTCATTGGTGGTTACAATCACGTGATCGAAGCAATTTCATCAAGTCAGATATTGGTTTTTTGAAAAATATTAGTCCTCCCTTTATATCAATTTATGTCGCATTGTTTCCTTTTTAGGCTATCTCCGATCCTTGTCTCTATTTTTTCTTTCAAAATGGGATAAACTTCAAAATAGAGTAAAGTTACTCCAACTATTTACTTTATTTTTTACTTCAAAAAAATATGTTCCATTTTATATTCTTCTCTCTCTTCAATATTATATTATTATCTTATATTTAAATTTTATTTTTTATTTCTATTAAAGAAAATCTATCTTTTTTTTCTTTTACATATTCATCACATATAATTTCTTATAAAATTATTTTATATCATAAATTTTTAAATAATATTATTATTATTATGCTATTTACCGTAGTTTCAATTTTTATGTATCTTAATTTAATGTATTTTTAGTTTTTTTTTATGTATTTCCAATTTTAATGTATTTTCATTTAATGTATTTTCAATTTTCACTTTTCAATTTTAGCAACATCGAATATTTTATATTCGCACCTTTCAATTTTAGCAACATCTAATATTTTATATTTGCACCATTCATTTTTTTGAGATGATTATATGATTTTCATGTAAAATTATAACTTATAATTTTACATAAAAATAATAAATGCACGAAAATTAATTTATCAAAATTATACACCAAAGTTAAGATATAATATTAATATAATAAAGACATTACATAAACATAATTAGGTATATATAAAGAGATAAATTAAAAGATTAAACAATAAAATAATAATAAAAAATTGATGAATAGTAATGGGGGAGATGAATAGTGCACCCCCATATTTGAGGGAACACTATTCATCCCCCATTTTGGGGACAAAAATGGGGGAGGGTTGGAGCAAAATTCCCCCAAAAATTTCCCCCATTATGGGGGATGGGGGCAAGGTTGGAGATGCCCTGACACCTGTCGAATGTTACTCATGATACAAATAAAGAGGGCATTCTACTAATATTCAAAGTTTGGAAGGACCTAGTTGACTGCACAACTGGTGCAGTGGTGCACAGATGCTACCTTTAATGGGGTTGCCAGGATATCCAAAATAAGGAGTAACAGGCAACTTGTAAGTTCAATGAGGTCACACATGATTCTGGAAAACCACTCTAAGTGCTTTCTATCTTTAAGATAAGGAGTAAGAGGCAACTTGTAAGTTCAATGAGGTCACACATGATTCCGGAAAACCACTCAAAGTGCATTCTATCTTTAAATTCGCCTTGCTGACCCTCCATTGAATAACACTTGTGTTCTTGTTGCTATGGGTACTTCTACAATTTTTGGTAATTGCAGAATTTCTATGTTATATAAATCTTTGTTGCTTAATTCTGATATATGTCTAGGTTGAGGGAAGGACCGTCAAGGCTCAGATCTGGGACACAGCTGGACAGGAAAGATACAGAGCCATTACAAGTGCTTACTATAGGGGTGCTCTTGGGGCTCTTCTGGTATATGATGTGACAAAACCAACCACCTTCGAGAATGTTAGTCGGTGGTTGAAGGAACTGAGGGATCATGCAGATTCGAACATTGTGATTATGCTCATTGGAAACAAGACGGATCTGAAGCATCTTCGAGCAGTTGATACAGAGGATGCTCAAAGCTTTGCTGAAAAAGAAGGCCTTTCTTTCATCGAAACATCTGCATTGGAGGCAACAAATGTAGAGAAGGCTTTCCAGACGATTCTTTCAGAAATCTATCGGATAATCAGTAAGAAGCCACTTTCTTCCGAGGAGCCAGCAACTGCTAACATCAAAGAAGGGAAGACTCTTGTTGTTGGGGCAGAGGATCCTGCCCCCAAGAAGGCATGTTGCTCTTCATCTTGATGGTCATTAGATTTTTAAGCCCCTATATTGTTCCTTTTGTTAGTTTTAACTAGTAGTCATTTTTTGCCTTCTATATTCTCGGTAAAGATATTATACCCTTTTTCAACATTAGGAAGGAAATGTGCAATACATGTCAAAATCTTGTTATAGTATGGCTCTTTAAGAATTAAATCAATTATTTCAATGCTTCAGCGTTAGTTCAAATGACAGCAATTATTTAATGTGTATGGTGTGATATTATAACTAAAGACTATGATTTGCCACCATATAGCAAGAAGTCTAAAGACGGCAATTTCTAGAGTTCTTTTTCATCCGGTGAAATGAGGTTCTCTAAAATTTAAAGAGTCTAATATCCAAATGACTTAATAAGTCTAATTTACTCTAGTATCTTGCACACAATTAGGATATCTCTTTATTCTTCTTCACGCAAAGGTCCTCTCATATTTTTGTGTGTCGGTCCAACTACGTATTTTAATAATACCTCTTGTTTTCTCCCCGACATACGACTTTTACTGTTACAACTAATCACCTGCAAGTAAACTTGGGGCGTACTAATGGCAAGAAATTATCAAGAGGAAAATAACACACGACTTTTCTCAACTACTTACTGAAACAATGAATGTTAAATTGCAAGTTCATCTTACAAGCCGAGGCTGCATAGGGAACATGATATTTGCTTCGCGAAGTTGGTCATTCTTCACTTCGTTATTGCCAGATGGATCCATCTTACAAACAGTGTAAATAAATCTTAGTCACTCTATTTTTAGTGTCAAACAGCTACACATTGTCGGCGCACGCCGAAGTTAAACTCATACTATCAGATTTGCCTCTCGGCGTCTACTTATCATTCCAGGCAGGCAACGTTCACATAACACCATGAGCAAAGTTGGAAATACATTTCAACCAACGGAAGGACATTCTAGTTCTAGTAAACATATGTTTAGTTACAAGCTGTTCAAATTTTGCAATTGGAACAGAGCGATACAGAAACAGAGTGTCAGCAGTTAGCCACAACAGTTGCTCTTCTGCTCAATTGGTTGTCCTTTGATTTGAACAGTGCTACCTGACTTCTTGGCTCCAGCTGGTTGATTACCCATTCTGCAAAATAAAAAATTTGGTTAGGTTCCTAAATCGGAACTACGAAAAGACCAACTACAAACTACTAAGAGATGTGGTTCAGGGTGGAAGACAACTTTTTACTTGTTACCAACATTGTTCACATCATGTTAAATTCATTAATATAAAAACTAGTTCATAGAAAAAGTAGCAACAGTAGCAGTCTGACTATGTACAATAGCTATATATATTCACAATTTCATACCCACTAACGCAATCTATCTTGGTAAGCTTTAAATATGTTGAATGTATCGGAAATAGAATCAATAAATTATGGGGAGAAAAAATGGTGGAACTAGACTTTTTGCAGAAATAAAACCAGGAAAGAAATATTAGCCCACTTACTTTTTCTTGATCTCTCCCGCCATTGTCAAGAAAGCCTGCTCCACGTTAATGGAGTCTTTTGCACTCGTCTCAAGGAAAGGGATACCTAGTTCATCTGCCAAAGCCTGAATAAATTTAAAGTGATGTTACAAATGCATAATTGCTTGAACTGGGAATAAGAACATAACTGACAAGTAAGCTGTCTAGATCATACGTTCATACATTGGTCAAGACGAGGTAGTTTCATACTTTGATAGAATGATTTGGAGAATATTAGAATCACATATTTTGTTATGTCACTACCTAAACCAAGAAATACAGAATAATCAAAAGAAAGGCATTTCAAAAAATTTACATCATCAAGTTCAATATCGCAAAGCACTATTTTGACATGTTTACAAACATCTAAAGTAGTTCATATCTACTAGAGGGTTACTTTTACATATTAATCAATTTTCATGTGTTATCTATCAGCATCAGAGGTATTCCATTGAAACCAGAGCACAAGGAAATGAAAAACTTTCAGAATAATATATCTTTAACAGCAAAAAGTCAAACACTAATCAAACACCACCAATTATTATATAGTCACATGTAACAACCTGATTATAGACCACACACTACCTCCAGAAAGCCTGCGCTCGCAAAGTTCACAAAGAATAACTTATGACAAAACTTCTAGGTTGTTTATTTGCACACATGAACTAAGTTATAGTGCTCCCTCCCACTCTTCTGCTCAACCTCGAACTGGAATCACTGCCCAAGTACCTTGAGCAATCATGGACACCAGGATTGTGCACCTACCCAGAGACTTCATATACTCAAGTGCATTGAGGGGACACAGATCAAACAAAAGTGTGACTACAGTGACTGAATTCAGGGAGTTCTGAGATGAAGAGCTAACTCCAGTGAGACTTGGGTTTCATGAGGCAAACGAGTATGCCACAAGGACGGAGGATAGAATAACTGCTGGTGGATCACTGGTGTCATAGGTATGCAATGTTTCTGACTGATGATGGTGTCTGCAGACATGTCCAAATGATGGTTTGATGCAAAGTCACAATGACTGCTAATAATGAGCTAGCCAACTGTAGCATCTAAAGTATGTTCGTCTTCAATTTTCCACTGAGGACACAGAAACTAAAGATAATGGTTGCAGAAAATACTCCACGCGTAACCCTACTATAAAGAAAAAGTAGCATAAGCAAATTTACAAGTTTTTACTTTTTCAACTTGATCAATTTTTCTCAAAGATATGTCCAACATCTTCATTGAGAAGACAACCCCTAAAACAGGAAGATACCTTTTCCGCTCCAAAAGACATTATAGTCTAAATGTATATCCTGAAAACAAAAATCCTACTCTAGTATAGTAAAGAACTAACACGTTTGAGGCACATAGCTTGAGTTTAAGAAAGGAATCAAATGAAAAGAACATGAGAGCATTGTTAGAATAATTATAACAAAATGAGATGATTTTCAGCATTTGTCAGCAAGCCATGTTCAATAGGCTGATAGTATGGCTAAACCGCGCCCGATCAGTACAAAGAAACAAAGGTTTATCTGATAAAGAGGCAACATAAAATACCTTTCCCGTCTGTGTGTCCACAACCTTGTAAACACTCTCATTTGCATATCTGTCAATTTCATTCAGCCATTGCATGACACTGTTGAAGCTCTCCATTTCAGTTACAACGCAAACAATCTACCATAATATAACCACAAATAAGAAGAGCATTTTTCTTTAACCAGTGTGTTCAAAAGACCATGACACTAAGCTAGAGGATACAAGAAAAGAGAGCAAAAAAGCTTTACATGAATCTAGTTAATCTATAACATACACCCGCTGTAAAGAAATCGATGGCACACTTATTTGAGGATGGCGTGTATCACAGATAGGCAATTATACTACAAAACCAGACCATCTACTCCCCCAATCCCCCCAAAAGGAGAAAATATATGCAGTTAATATTAATATTTTTATACGTAAGTTATTAAATCCTGCACTTTTCAAAAACAATGATGGGACGAAATAGAATCTATCACTCCTCCATCTCATTTTATATGACACTCTTTCTTTTTTGGCAGATCACACGAAGACTGAAATCTTTATTTTTGAGAAACTAGGCTTTTCTTCTTTTCCAATTCTTACCTCTTCAAAATTTTCCGGTCCTTCCCCGGACCCCGCGCATAGCGGGAGCTTAGTGCACCGGGCTGCCCTTTTTTTACCTCTTCAAAAATTCCATCATCATATATTTAAAAGTGATTTAAGGACTTGTAAGACATACGACGCATGGCAATAACAAGAAGAGGTGAGAGAACGGACTATTGAAAAGTTGCCAGGATAAAGGAGAACCAAAAAGTCCAAAAAGGTATGGAATAGGTTCAGAGACAAAATGTTGCAAGTAATATTTGTTTTACTAATGTGTTAGTCTTCTCAGAGTTGGTCATGTCTGGGAAGGTCACACTCCGTGACATAATATGGAGCGAGGGAGTAATATCAAAGTCGATATTAACTAGGAAAGAAGAGTAAATGTCAATTAATTACACCTCGGAGCCAACACTAGCCTACCAGTTACCTTCACTGAAACTCGGAATTTACCAGCTGTGGGGTTCAGTATTGACCCCAGGATCATAGAGTGGGTGATTGACAGTATGTCTTAACCTTATAAAGATATAGTTAGAGAAAGATAAGCATATATTGTTTGTATTTTCAAAAGATTCAACAAGCTTAGGCATTAAGATGATGCAAGAAGAAGTATCATAAGCAATAGAGGATTAGCAAAAAGCTGCAGACAGAATGAGATGCAAGGGAGGTAATGAAATTTAAATCTTAACTACTTTTCCAATTTTTTATGGCCAGAGAAAGTTCTAATCAATGTGCCCCTCTACCCCCTACTCTAGTCAGCTTTCTATCTCTTTCTCCAACCTTCGATGATCCTCCTGCTGGCAATCATCGAAGTCAAGAAGAAGTGATGGGCCTGATCTTCCGATATCGATATCTGATCCCTAAGCTGAGCTCCAAAGTCAGGATTTCTTCCTAAAGCTAAAGTAAGGGCAAGGCCCCGGTCGGTTCTCCCTTTCTTTCTTTCCTGGTTATCTGTTCTCTAGTCGTATAATCATACCATTCTGCCATACTATTTTCAGATGTATGTAATACCTCACAATGATCCCATGTGCTCCCCCATAATAACTGCTTGTTATAGTGCGGAACCGCTCCTGGCCTGCAGTATCCCACTACAAAAAGAAAAAGAGGAAGCTGGTATTATAACATGTAAATCAGCATAGAGCAAGCATCAACGGTTAGTTGATCAATCTAGTCATTATGATTTTGAGGAAATGCCAGCTTCCCAACACTGATATCACTAATAAGAGGGTAATGTGGATATGCCCACTGTTAGTAAAATTCTCTTACTTGATAAAAAGGAGAGGTTAAAGTGGATATATTCAATGTTTTAGCACACACTACCAATTAATTAAATAACGGTAACTGCTGATTTTATTGTGCTAGTCTGAAACTCGCCAACATGCTAACTACTAAGAATTAAAAAACACTGCATCAAAGATGCATTTGGTGGCTTAAAGCGATCACATGCTCACATTACTTTGTAAGCTTGCCCAGAAATGGAATTTGAGATCTATGGAATTCAAATGATAAAGATAAAATGCATAGTTCAAATGGCTTGTAAGATGACCGAGGACCTTCAACATAAGCTCAGTACTATAACTTAGACTTGAAAGCATTCACGCGAACGAACATGCAACACTCGACTATACTTACAAATTTGCAGCTTGATTGTCTTTCCATCCAGCTCCACCGTTCTAATTTTCTAAGACTACATCAACGTGAAACAACTTCATGCTACATTAGCATGAAGTGTTAGCTTATATTTCATTGAAACTTCAGACTCTGAACTAAGACTATATCAACGTGAAACAACTTCATGCTACATTAGCATGAAGTTTTAACTTATATTTCATTGAAACTTCATAATTTTACGCTCAAGTTATATGGAAAACACTACTCATGTCGTATGAAGGTTACTGTAAGCCTATATCAACATCAAACAACTTCATGCTATATCCTTCACGCGTTAAATTTTAAGTTTTGAAAAGTTTTTGAAGATCTATAAGTGAAAACTTCATGCTATATCAACGTCAAACAACTTCATGCAAGTGTGATTTGTAAATGACCATAAGTGAAAATTTCTATAGGCGTGAACTGAATTTAGATATTGTTTTTTAAGTTCCACACTTAAAAAGCAGGACGAACTACGAAAATAATTGTAGAAACATATATCATGAAGCTCAATCAGTTGAACAAACTAATGCAAATTCTGAAGATGAATTGCAATACTTACAATGTATTGTAATTTTTGAATCTGAAGATGAATCTCGTTCAAGGTTCTGGTTTTTTAATAGAGCTGCTGAGAAGAGAGGAGATCTTCGACCAGGGTTGAAGGAGATCTTTGACGAGGGATGGAGTGATGGAGGATCTTTTTCACAAATGAGGTTGCAGATCACGCGATTAATGCGTTATGCGGCTTTTATACCTTTTGTCAGGGGTATAATTGTCATAATATTACAAAAATTTTGTCAGCTGGCTACCAAATCAATAATTTTTAAAAATATGGTACATGTTAAAAGGCAGTGGCGGATCTACATATAGTAGTATGGGTGCTTAAGCACCCATTGCTTTTGACCAAATTTATTAGATTTACCTAGGCAATATCAAAAAATTTAAATAAGTATTGAGTGAGCACCCACAATCAAACTCAGTTACCCTTCTTTGGAATTTTTTTCCGGCAAGCACCCATAACAATAAAATCTTGGCTCCGCCACTGTTAAAAGGTGGCACAAATATAGGGTACGGCTGCAAATCCCGCCATCCCAAACCCAACCCCGTGCAAAGGAAAGAGAGTTGTCTCCCTTATGGCTATGGAACCACGATTTTTCCCAACCTTCATAATTATTTTCTGGAATGGACATATATGGTGTAAACAACTTTTTTGTGGAAGTAATAGATGACTTAGAACACGTTACAGAATGGGGATTCTTTTTGGGTGTTCTACCTTGAAGTTTGGACGAGTTGATGGATATAGCTTTTCTCATGCCTTTCCACTCTTCTTCTCTCCCTAGGAAAAAACCTCATTGAAGGACAATGTGTTGGGGTTAAACAAAGAGTCTTGTCTAAGGTTCAAAGAACATGTGATGCTCTAATGGATCTTCTTCCCTTTGTGATGAAAACTGTAAGACACACCCCAAAGCAAAAATGAGATAACTTAAGAAGAAGATGAAAACCTGATTATGGACCAAGATCAACCAGAACCATAGTAACTAACTAATGAATAATAATGTTTTTCCTAACTTTAAAAACTGATGTATCTTCCTCGGTAATATAGGTCCTCTCAACAAACTGAGCAGCTTCTACGCGAAGCTAGTAGAAATAGAGAGAGGAGACATGTTTGGTGACCTTCTACGCAATGCAGAGCTCTCCCTCATCCGCAAAACTTTTCGTCCCTAACACCACTTTGACAGCTATAACACCATGCAAGAAACACCTAAATTTTCAACTTTGAAGACATGCTCAAAGTTGAGTAAAATCACAATTGTGCTTATATAGATGCATTAAGAATTTGATAGAAATATTCATGGGTATCATGAATTACCCGATTATGGTTGTGAAATCAAATCTGGATTTTAAAAGAAATAAACCAATAATACTTAATATATTGAATATAAGTAGTTCCGCAAAAGGATTGCTCCACAAAACATCCCCCAGCACAGCACCCCTAAAAAAAAGAGGAATCACCAAAGAAATATAAGAGGCAGGCAGAACTCGGGAGATAATTACTTAATGTTTAAAGATACTAGTTAACTCCACATAAAATGATTTTCTAGAGAATTTGTAACCTTGAAAAAAAAGTAGGATATAATTTTGGCAATGATAAGTGCATCTTCATTATAAGAAAATAGAATACCAAAGAATAGTTTCTCATGAAGCTTGCATCTTATGTTTAAGATTCAGTGCATAACACAACAACAAACCCCATAAATTGGGTCTGGTCACTGCATAATACAAAAATGTAATTTACTGTTTAAAAGCGCAGCGCCAGATATACATGTACCTGTTATATGTGATGTAACGTCGGTAGCTAAGCACCTGTTACTGTTTAAAAAGCACGTGTTTGTTTGTTTGCGTAATATTGTTATACGCAAACAAAGTCTGATCAACCTGTTATAGATTGAAAGCATACCTATCAGACGCCTCACAAAGAGAAATTTAGCAGTCTACAGTTTCCTAACTCCACAAATTTCCATCATAAGATTATCCACTAGGAAATAGGAGACAGAGATAACGTATTGCTCCTAGGACTCAGAGAAAGCTGCAAATCAACTTGCTCAGATTAAAAGCCAACAATTCAATTGCCCAAATAGGGATTACATCCAACCTAAAGAGGAAGTTCCAATCTGACCCAGCCTGACATAGCTTACGAAATAAAAATGTGGAACAAGCTAACTTTATCGCACTAAACTACTCCACTAGAAATTAATCTCCAGATATGTTGCAAATAGAGAATGAAACTTTGCTGAAATCCTTCACATTCAAAACCAAAGGGAGATGATGCAAAACTTAAAGCAAACATAAATATCAACTATTTAATAGTACAACAGTAACAATTTGCAAAGCCACGGCAAAAATTAATAACAAACTAATAGACAGAACATGTTTGGCTTAATAGAAGTTTATTTTAGATAATACAAGGCCTAGAACTAGCTCTGTAGCTTCTCAAACTCAATAGGAACTTCTCCCGTCACCCTCTGTGATCACATCTTTGAAAGCTCCGCCACTGGGAATCATAGGTAGAACATGTTCCTGATGAGGTACAATCACATCCAACAAGTATGGCCCAGGAGTGTCTAACATCTTCTGAATGGCAGCTCTAAGATCATCCCTATGTGTCACTCTTGCAGCAGGTACGCCACAAGCCTCTGCAAATTTCAACATATTAGGAAAGATCTCCGCCTCATTAGAAGGATTCCCCAGGTATGTGTGTGCTCTGTTAGCCTTATAGAACCGATCCTCCCATTGAACCACCATTCCCAAGTGTTGATTATTAAGTAACATAATCTTAACTGGGAGATTCTCCACCTTAATTGTTGCAAGCTCCTGCACATTCATGATGAAACTGCCATCGCCATCAATGTCAACCACAACTTCATCCGGTCTTCCAACAGCCGCACCAATAGCAGCGGGCAAACCAAATCCCATTGCTCCTAATCCACCAGATGTCAACCATTGGCGTGGCTTTCTGTACTTATAGTATTGAGCAGCCCACATCTGGTGTTGCCCCACACCAGTACTTATAATAGCATTCCCATTAGTTAACTCATCTAGAACCTGGATAGCATATTGCGGAGGAATAGCATCACCAAAAGTTTTAAAGTTCAACGGGTGCTTCACTTTCTGCTCCGTCAACTCCTGCCTCCAAGCAGAAAAATCCAACTTCAGTTTACCTTCCTTACTTTCTAATATCGAATTCAAACCCTGTAACGCCAACTTGATATCTGCACAAATGGAAACATGAGGCTGCTTGTTCTTTCCAATCTCAGCTGAATCAATATCAATGTGAACAATTTTCGCTCGGCTAGCAAAAGCTTCTAACTTTCCAGTAACTCTATCATCAAACCTCACCCCAAATGCGAGCAACAAATCACTACTGTCCACAGCATAATTAGCATAAACAGTACCATGCATACCCAACATTGAAAGGGAAAGCTCATCCCCAGTTGGAAATGCTCCAAGACCCATCAAAGTACTTGCCACGGGGATTCCCGTGAGCTCCACGAATTGTCTCAACTCCTCACTCGATTGCGAACACCCACCCCCCACATACAAAACAGGCTTCTTTGACTCAGAAATAAGCCTAACAATTTGTTCTAAAAGCATCTCATTGGGCAATTTAGGCAACCTAGACATGTAACCAGGCAACCTCATTGGCTGATCCCAGTCAGGTATCACCAATTGTTGCTGAATATCCTTAGGTACATCAATCAAAACAGGGCCTGGCCGGCCCGATCTCGCGAGGAAAAAAGCCTCACGTACAACCCTAGGAATATCCTCTACGTCCATAACGAGATAATTATGCTTGGTAATCGATCTAGTTACCTCAACAATAGGAGTTTCCTGAAAAGCATCAGTACCGATCATCCTACGTGGCACTTGACCGGTTATAGCAACAATGGGGACGCTATCCAGTAGCGCGTCCGCGAGGCCGCTGACGAGATTGGTGGCGCCGGGGCCGGAGGTAGCAATGCAAACGCCGGGGAAGCCGGTGGCGCGTGCGTAACCCTCAGCGGCGAAGACACCGCCCTGCTCGTGACGCGGCAGCACGTTGCGGATGATGCTTGAACGGGTCAAAGCTTGGTGAATCTCCATGGAAGCGCCACCTGGGTACGCAAAGACGTCCGTAACCCCTTCTCTTTCGAGGGCCTCCACGAGAACGTCGGAACCCTTTCTGGGTTCGTCAGGGGCAAAACGGGAAACGAAAGTTTCGGTTTTTTCGGTCTGGAAAACTTTTCGGGTAGTGGAAATGACATTGGATATGGTGAAACGACGGCGTTGGCTGTGAATGTGCGTGTGGGTGAGGTGGAGGGGTGGTGGGGTGGTTTTGTGGGGGTGGTGGGGGAAAGGGAAGGTGGATCTAGGGAGGAGGGTGGAGGATTTGGAGGAGGAAGGCGATAGGGTTTTGGAGAGAGCGGAAGAAGAGGGGGATGGAGCCGCCGCCGCCGCCATTGTTGAAGGAGAGCAGGGAGAGACGAAACTGGAAGGAGGGTAATGTAGATGGAGTGTGGTTGGTTTTATATTAAGTTGAGAAGATGAGAGCGCCACTAAACTAAAAAGGGGTCCTACTTGATTAAATGCACGTGAATTGCGAAAATGGATGAGAACAAATGGAAGAGAGATCAAAATGTGAAGAAAAGAGAAAAAGAAATATTAAGTAGGCGTTTGGACATAAGAATTGTAAAATTCGAAAAAATGGTGAAATTTTTTTTTAGTGAAAATGGTATTTGAAATTTAGAGTTGTGTTTGGACATAAATTTTAATTTGGGTTGTTTTTGAAGGTTTTGCGTGTGGTTTGAGTGAAAATTTTGAAAAACAGTTTTTTGCAGTTTTTCAAATTTTCGAAAATTTCCAAAATGCATCTTCAAGTAAAAATTGGAAATTTTATGAAGAAACGCTGATTTCGAAAAAAAGTGACTTTTTTTTAAAAGATCTTCCATCAAATTTTATGTCCAAACGGGCACTGAGATGTTGGGTATACGTAGGAGTATGAGTGGCAAATGGGTGGGTCTGGTCGGATATGATTCGGATCGAAAACGGGTAAATGCCCATACAGATAAATTATCCGACCCGACTTATATTTAATACGATAAAAAATGGGCTAACCAACGGATAATATGAGTAACCATATTGTCCATGGCTTCTTAAATATGATTATTTTTTTGGAGAATTTCTAGTCTCCTAAACTCGAGGAACTCCAATTTGAGGCTTTACAAATGTTAAAGTTAAACCCGTTGATTATCCATTGGTTACCAATTGATTATCCATTTTCTAAATGGATAATATGGTTTTTATCCATATTTGGCCCATTTTTAAAACGTTCATTATCCAACCCATTTTTAGTGGATAATATGGGTGGTTAAGTGTTTTCTTTGAACTAGGGGTGTTTATAAAAACCCAAAAAATTGAACCAAACCGAAGACCAAACCAAAACGACCAAAAAACCAATACTTTTTGGTTTGGTTTGGTTTTGATTTTGAATTTAAAAACCGATCAAATTTGGTTTGGTTTTGAATTTAATCAAAAACTAACCGGAATAAAACCGAACCAAACCGACTATAGAAGTATCTATTTCAAATTTATTATTACACCTATATGTATGTACGTCTTTGTACAAAGTTTCTAAAATTTTATTGTGCATGTTAATCGTTTGCACTTTTAGTACATTTCTTTGCATTTACATTCTAGTTTGATTGGTAGTTTTCTTTTGCTAAGTATAAGAATCCATTTTATGTTAAAAATAATCTATTTTAATTGAGTCCTTAAATTTTTCATCATTATTTTATTCAATTATCATTAATATAGCTTGGTAAATGATAGATTTCTCAAAGGGCAATTGATTTGATAGTGTTACATTGAAAATATAGTCGCCGGAATATGAAAGTACAAGAGGGGGGTGAATTGTAAATACTTCAATTTAATTACTTATAAGTTGACTTAAAACTTGAGTAGTCGGCTGAATATGATAATTTAGCAGATATGGTAACGGAAAGTAAAATGCAGAGAATAATTGCAGGAATTAAAAATACCGGAATTTTTATACTAGTTCGGATTCAATGTGAATCCTAATCTAGTCCCCTTGGGTTGCAAGGGAGTTCTCTTCAGTAAATGAGTTTCTTCCGAGTACAAATGTGGTGTATATCGCTCAGTTTCTCCAGCACTCGTTTTTTATACAATGCCTCACCAGTTGTATGCTCTCTTTCTATCCCTGACTTGTTACACAGCAGATCTTAGTGAACGACAATGCTTGTTTGCAGTAGAATAAAGAGAGTGATTTGGTTTGATCAAAGTATGTCTTAGCTAGGGTTTACAAGGGTGTATAAATACTTTGATGGATGGTAGAGGCTTGACAACCCAAGAGATTTGATCCTTGGAAAGAATTGATACTTTCCAAGAATAAGGAATTAGCCGTTGCTTCTCTTGATTGCTTTCCTTTAGCAGAGGATTGCTTCAATTGATTTCTCCTTGATTGTTGGATCTTCCAAATGTGGTCGCTTCCCAGATCTCCTCGTATCCTTTAGTCTTCCGTGATTCTGCCCATGATTCGTATCTTTGTCCAAGGCTTATTTGATTTTTTTCCAGCTCAGCTAATCATTGTTATTGCTGACTGATTCGTTGATTAGATTGCGCCCAGATTTACGAGACCAATCCAGATTTGCTGATCACATGCTGATTGATTTCTTCCCTTATACATCATGAACCATTCGAGCAGTCTTCTTTACTTCTTGAACTTGATTTCCTACACATGTATATTATTTGCATCATTAAAATATGATCTAACAATCTCCCCCTTTTATGATGGCAAAATAATATAATAAGGTAAAGAAGTAAACACCAGTCGACTTCCCTGTGTTTTACTAGTCGACTTGACTCCCCCTCAATGTATGTACGCTTGACTCCCCCTCAATGTATGCAGTTGACTTGACCTGTCCATGATTCTCCCCTTCAATGTGTGCAGTCGACTTGGACCGACTTGTACCTGTACATTATACAATATATGCTACCTATACACATATAAAATGTGTGCAGTCGACCTGTACACATACACATATAGACACATAGTCGACTTGTACCTGTACATATACACATAACATAGGCAAAATAACATAGACCTGTACACATACATAACATAGGCTTTTTCTCCCCCTTTTTGCCATCAGCAAAGAGTGATTATAAACATAGATAACAGGGAAGCAGAAAAGGTAAAGAGAATTATCCAAGGGCTTAAACCACAGCCCACAATACCACCAAAACAAGTTGTCAAAAAAAAGTTTTGAAAAACATCCACACCAGCGGCGCAGGAAATAGGTAAGGGTGTTGCAGATGGCCTCCTTTAACTGTTCGAAGCTAGTATTTGCAGCGACGCTCATACCATCCAGCCTGTCGTGAACCTCCGTGAAGACTTTGACAGCATTCTCCCTTACTCTGAGAACAGCAACTCCGATTTTTGACACGTCAGACCCTGTTTCCTTTGAAATAGCATGAATGTCACCCATAGTGGATTGAGTGGCGGAGAGAAGATTCTTGATGTCAGAGAGTTTGGTGTAACACCCCGTAAATTCGACTTAGGAGTGAATGTGTTAAATGAGTGGTAAGATTATATTTTGAACATGTTAAGTCCCATCGGGATGATTATGGATAAAATAGTTATTTCAAAATCAAGATGGAAAGAGAGGTGCATAAGATTTGACAAAAATCAACTAAGTTTGCAGAAGGTTTGTCTTCCATCAAGTTTTAGTGAAAATGTGTAAGGAATTGGGAAAAGTTCGAAACATAAAAGTTGTAGGCCTTTGAAATAGCTTTTAAAAGATATATAATGGAGCCCCAACGGATCTATGTACAAAAAGTTATGTGCGTTTTACGGAACAGCACGCACATGCGCACCCGGTAGCGCGCCCATTAGCGCGGCCGCGCTAATTTTGAGGCAGTGTTATTGCCATTTAGCAAGGTCAGTAGTGCGGGCAAGCCTCCAGTAGTGCGGGCGCGCTAGTGGGGGGTCGTTTTAAAGCTATATTTCGTTCCCCACAGCCCCAAAACATAAAAACTTGCTCTAGAAAGGGGAACTCTCAAAAACCTAACTCCTTAAGGGTCCTTCCACTTAAGGGTCCTTCCACCACCCAAGGTAAGTTCTAATGGCGATTCTAAGTTAATTTCAATTTCCCAACATCTTATTAAGATGGGTAAACTCTCCATATCATTAGATATTCGGTTGGGTCATCATTGTTGAGAGAATGAAGCCTAGAACTTGAAATTCAAGGGTTTGAACTTCGAAAAGGTAATGTCTTCACCCTCTAATTGATTCTAGCATTGGTTTAATGATTATAAACCCTAGTTCATGAGATATGAGTTGATGGGTTTGATAGAAAAGCATGAACGATTATAGATTTGGGGTGTTGAGTGTTGATTATTGGTTAAGGGTGTTGTCTAGCTTAAGGGTGATAAAGAATAATATCGATTACAACCATTTGAGACTTTAGAATTTATCTAGGGGCGAGGAAATGGGTTGTTGGGTGTAGAGACACCATTAATAAGGACTATGAAGCTTTATTTTCACCAAGTGTTTGATGAAATGCTTAAGTGACCAAAACATGAGCATTATAGCTAATATGGAATCCCTTTGACTTGTAATGCTATAGATTAAAGTTGAAAGGGTTGACAAACGTTGTATTACGCTCAAGAGCCGGAAGTTAAGGTATGTAAGGCTGACTCTTTACGTTTGGGAATGTCTATGATTCTACCTACGTCATATTCATTATGACCCTTACCAGTTTCCTCAGAAAGTAACTATGACCTAGTTCCCTGAATAGTAGTAGAACTTCTATTCTCTAGATGGCATAGTTTCATAATCATTAGATATTCTATGAGTCTCAGTTATGACAGATCAACTTATTATGAATATTCATCTCAGTCTAATCCTATTCACTATTACAGTATCATGTCACTTTGTATGGCTCTTTATTTCAGTATCATTTATTACAGTATGATTCTCAGTTCCTGATTCTAAATTCCTGAATGTTGAGCACTTGTATTTGGGCCTGAGGCCGCAGTTTATGCTTTATGCATCTTTGGGCCTGAGGCCGCAGTTATGTATACGTATACTTGGGCCCGAGGCCGCAGTTGTGCGCGCACACACACACACACACACACACACACACACACACATATATATATATATATATATTGGGCCTGAGGCCGCAGTTTAATATTCAGTTAAACAGGTTGTTCATCATTCAGGAGAGAGAGTATTCACATCCTTACTTCCTTGTTTAGTTATCAGTTTATCAGCTAGCAGTTCAGTTTCAGTTCCAGTATTTACAGCTCTTTTGTTCAGCTATTTTACATACCAGTGCAATTCAAATGTACTGACGTCCCTTTTTGCCCGGGGCCTGCATCTCGCGATGCAGGTAACGATGTTCAGGTTGATGATTCTGCTTGTTAGGACATCTCGTATCAGCTGTTGGTGAGCCCCAGTCTTTCGGGGCCTTATCTCTCTTTTGTTTTAGTCATTATAGTATTTCAGTTAATAAGGTATACCGGGGACCTTGTCCCGGTAAACAGTTGGCATTTTCAGTATTCCTTAGAGGCTTCGTAGACTATAACCCAGTCAGTCAGATATTA